CAGAACAAATATATAACTTGACTAAAATACTGGATCTGTGTTGTCAATTAGTGTTGTGCTGGTTGCAAGAGAAAACATTACACTTAAATACACTATTTTATGATTAATTCCTAACGTAGTAATTAATGTAATGCAACTTATTTATGCAAAAAGGATTTACTAGGCACTGAAGTTTCATATATTATAACTGTGATTTTAGGACAGTCTGTACGGTATTTTAATTTCTATTAATCAATCAATATAAATGAACAGCTTTTTCAAAAAGGTGAAATATTTCCAATTTAAACTGTATATTTTCCTGACACATTATATCAATAGTAAAAGTTCACTGTGGAGTTTAATGATTGACGTATATATCTGAATAGTTATTTGTTTTGTTAATTCAAGTTATACAAAATATATCACAACGTTTACAAGAAGACCAGGGAAGATCAGACCAGCTCCTCAATCTCAACTCCGGTTCCAGGCACCGGATCAGTGTAGTGGGCCTGGTTCCAGCTCTGCTATCTCAAGCACAACTAAAAACTGGCCAGCTCCGCTAAGGCTCGAGGCTACGGAGCTGGCTCCAGGCTCCGAAGCATGAGCACTGCCAACCGTATTTTTCTATCCAGTATCTAAATAAGAATAAAGAAGGATAAAACATCCTGAACACTTCAATTAATTTTGAGAACTTATGTGTGAAAGCAAAGAAGAATAAGTAATAATATGTCAACCACAATGTATTTGCCACATCCAGTGTCGACGATATGCATTTCAACCAAATCAAGAAAATTAAAACTTGTTTCTGAGAAAAGTTCAATTAAGAACGTTGTATAAGTCAGAAAACGGACAATTTACATTAAAATACATAAAGTTACACTCGAATAGTACCTCTTACGCATGCGTAGTTATAGCGGCTAAAACAAGAATCCATACAACAGTTCTGCCTTGTCCTACTGACCTACTTTTACGAAAGTAAAGGAAGCAGTGAAAGTGCTTGTTTACTCCTCGCTTGGCATTCCGCCATCCCTGGGGATTTTTCACAACGCTATAACGCTTTTCATTTTCTCGCGGAGCTCGAAGAATCAGATAACTATAACAACACAAAAAAAAAACTAACCAATTGTAATGAACTCTAGCTAGATCATCTACTGGCAGAAAAGAAAAAAAAACACTTTGAGTTTTATAGTGTGATTTACTTCAAACCCATGAATTAGTATGTTAATGTGAGGTTCTAAAAACTAATGAGTGACAGCAAAGAAAAAATATTTCTATCATACTACATCTGCTACATCTATTAATTCCAGTGGGCTGATGCAGCCAGCTGGGATACAACAAATATAGTAGTGGTAGAGGTGCTATTTGTATTGTTGTGACGTTGATTTGTCTTTAAGTGGGTTCTTATAGATTATTTGGTAAAAGTGATGCGGAATGCCGTCAACGCAATGATAACGAATTAAGTTTGATACAGGCTACGTTCACTTTGACACAAGTTGTAAGTCTAAGTTCACAAACAACGTTGAAACAGAAATTCCTCCCTAACTAGCTTATCTGTGATGGAAAAACAAACACGTAATTCACCGAGTAAATTAACAACAGAATGGAACTGAAATACTCGTTGAATAATTCATTGAATTTTCACGTTTGTTTGTTTTTTGAATTTCGCGCAAAGCTACACGAGGGCTATCTGCGCTAGCCGTCCCTAATTTAGCAGTGTAAGACTAGAGGAAAGGCAGCTAGTCATCACCACCCACCGCCAACTCTTGGGTTACTCTTTTACCAACGAATAGTGGGATTGACCGTCACATTATAACGCCCCCACGGCTGAAAGGGCGAGCATGTTTGGTGTGACAGGGATTCGAACCCGCGACCCTCAGATTACGAGTCGAGTGCCTTAACCACCTGGCCGAATTTTCACGTTCTCATTACTCGTATTTATAATGTACTCTTGATGCTCCATGGAAGTTTTAGATTATTACATCATCACGAAATTTCAAGAAAGTCTAGGACAACATTTATGAACTTTCTAGATTTGGCGTCATCATTTTAACAGTTCTCTTTCTCTCTAGCAAACAATAAAATTATAACATTGAAAGTATAGTCTACAACACTATCGTAATTTTCTTGAACAACAACTGTTATGGTGTGAACTAAAATAATAATTACGGTTCGCTTAGTTAACACTAATTTTATTTCAGGCATTTATAAATCAGAATTAATGTAAGAATTTATAATACAATATTATATAGTTATTTGTTTATTTTTGGTTTCATTTATTTGCTTTTTATTAAGCTCAAAGTTGTGTCTACCACGGTATCGAAATTCGGTTATAAGCCTTCAGACTTATCGCTGAGTCACTGGGGGGGAGGGCAGTTGCTATAAGTTTTATCTAAGTCAACCACGTGAGCTTAACTGATATGTATTTGAAATTTGGACTTGTCGTAACAAACTCTGATCACAACAGATGGCTATTCAGTGGAAATTCAAGGTGAAATAAAAAACAAACAAACACTGAATGTTTCTATTCTAGCCTGGGATATCAAAACAAAAACATGTTTTAAGAATAAATCCTATCACCTATTAAGATATACTATTGGTTCAGTCTGCACATTCAGCATTTAATCTCTTATACTTAGGAATTATTCTGTTTTATACTGCACACTAGATTATCCATCAAAAGCCTAAAACGAATTATTTACCAATTACTATATATATATATGTGTGTGTGTGTGTGTGTGTGTGTGTGTCTGTCTGTGTGTATCTTTGTCGGGTTTACTTTTGTTACAATAAGAAAAGCATCTAGGAATCAGCGGCCTCCTGGTGTTAAAGCACGAGTTCCAACCTGTATAGAGTGCAAATAAATAGTTTGTTTGTTTGTTATGAATTTCGCGCAAAGCTACAC